TGTGTGTGTGTGTGTGTGTGTGTATGTGTGTGTGTGTGTACTGGTATATATATATAGTGCAGAGGGTTATTCCCGTTGCTGCCTGCGTCATTATGAGTTGTTACTTTATTCTCTCTGTTCGTGTAGATCTGATGGATTCAAGTCTGAAGGCAGAGGAAGATCAGTCTCCAGGATCTGATGAAGGTATTTATGTGTAAATACTGATGACCTGATCGTGACCTTCATCAATCTGACATATAAACCATCTCCGTATAGACAGTGATTCCTTTACGCTACACGACACGTGATCTTCTGTTTAGACTAGAACTTGTTCCATCTCATGGACAGGTGGACATGGAATACTTATAGTTTTCCATGGCATAGTCCTCACTCCCACAGGAATATATGCACTCCTGCTGCTAATTCTGACATTATGAACACAACGTGTTGACCAGTTGGTTGACCAACGTGTTTGTAAATAATGGAACCTGATTATAGGATATATTATTACTTGTATCAAGAAATCCTAGATCTCAATCTGTTCGCACATTTTCCGTACCTGTGGTGAACGTGCCTTAAACAGAACAGACAAACAAACAGAACAGACAAACAGACAAACAAACAAACAAGTGAGTGAGTGAGTGAGTGCAGTATTAGCATCAGCTCTGAAACACACGGGTGTGTGTGTGCGTGTGTTTTCTCTTCCACGTTCTAGGCGGGTCCGGGAGAGCTCACGTCGTTTCCTCACAAGTCATAATCTGCGTGAACGATGGTTAGTATGGTGTGTGTACGAGCATGCCATACTCACACTAACCCAGCTCCACCCACCCATGCTCCGCGGCTCGTGGGGGGGTTGTGTGGATGTTTACTAACCAGCTCCACCCACTCACGCGCACGCTCGTGGAGGGTTGTGTGGATGCTTACTAATCCAGCTCCACCCACCCACGCGCACGCTCGTGGGGGGGTTGTGTGGATGTTTACTAACCAGCTCCACCCACTCACGCGCACGCTCGTGGAGGGTTGTGTGGATGCTTACTAATCCAGCTCCACCCACCCACGCGCACGCTCGTGGGGGGGTTGTGTGGATGCGTACTAACCCTACCGCACTAATCGCAAGAACAAACTAGTTCTGCGCGTGCTTGCGCCGTATGTTTATTCAACAACAGTAGAGAGAGCTGCGGTGCTATTATGCTGTGGAGTTACAACACCAGATGGCGACGTTGTGCAAAGAAGCCGCCGCGTTAGTTCTAGCTTCTCCCGTCGACTCCTGATAAGATACGCAGCAGCAGTAACGACTAGTAGTAGTTGTATCGGCAACGTCGCGCTCTTTCTATGGGCTCATCAAGAACGAGAGCAACGATGGACTACTGGTCATCTGACGTGTTTGCTGAAGGAGTATGGGATTCGTGAGCTTATGTTGCAAGGGAGGGTTATGTTGCAACTATTGTACAGGGACGTGGAGAACTCGACAAATTCTTTGTCTAAATATTCGGTTTTTAGCTCATCTGACGTAGTCAGATGCAGCTTGTAGAATCGCATGATTGTTCGCGTGCGTGCGTCCGTGCGTCCGTCCGTCTGTCAACAGTTGGGCACAAATCTTAACCGCTCAACGTACGGTCACGATATTAGGGACGTCGGGTGGGGGGGGGTCGTGAAAAGGATTCAGGATGACAAATTTGGTGGTCAAAGGTCAAGATGTGTAAACGGAGGGGAATATTTACCCCTTAACTTAAGGTATAGGAGGAAATACGGAATTGCGGCACAAATCTTAACGGCTCGGGACCTATGCTCTTAATATTCGGTGTATAGTGTGATGGGCAGGAAACCCATCACCAGTGCGAAATTGGAGGTCACAGGTCAAAGGGCAGGGGGGAAAGGTCAGATATCAGACATTTTCTGAGGACATGGGCTAACGGACAGAGTGAAAAACTTTTTTGTTTCAGAGCTGACCTACCATCTTTTATCACTTTATTGAAAGGACCATGAAATGTGCTTTCCACTGACGTGCGAAGAGTAAGTGTCTGATAACCTTTTGACCCTCAAGAGGATTTTAAACATGGATTCCTGAACTGCCTCAATGATGTCACAGTGTTCTCATATTCATGGCACATCCATAATCTGGAAAGCCAATATGTCTGGATAGCCCAACGGCTACAGCACAGGATTACGGCTCAAAGGTCCTTGGATCGAATCCAATCAGATTTTTTATTATTTACCTGTTTTCTGTATTTTTCTATCTTTATCCATTTAACTATTTCTTTCCAATTAAGGCAAATATTTACATGATTTATTTACAACAATTTCATAACAACAAATAATTTTTACAATTAAATTATTATGTTTTTAAATAGGGTTAGGGTTAGGGTTAGGGTCACAATGCACCATAAAACAGGAGTTTCAGGCACGCGATTTGTATCAACCAATGGGATTTGGGAGGTATGCAGAATGCAGAAGGTTGCTGAAATGATGTGTACGCAACTGCGTATCTGCATATCTGCGCCTAACAAAGGTGTCACTACGGACGACTTAAATGTTACGTTTATAACCGTAGCAACAGACCTCAGATGAGCCCAGACGCTCTGCGGCTCTTGTTAAGTAAATTTTGCGTTTGATATCTGCATGTTATAAGTAGTCTGCTAATAATTATTAATTATTTCTGCATGATTGTAATGATTCGTTATCACTCTGTAGGTTGTTATCAGTACCTTCCATCTTCCATCTTCCATCCTAATCACCTCCTGTACGATCACATTGTCGCATGAAATACGCCGCTGTCCTTATCATTTGTTTCATTGTTTACTGCATGTCGTATGAGCGTGATAGTCTGCATGCGTGTATACCTGTCTCCTTCACCTCTTTCCTGCCCCCTCCCTCGTCACTGCACTTGCACGTCTGCACGTTTCAGGGGCTGGAGCGCCGGACACCCCTGCTCCCACGCTGAGTCGCGATCGGCCGATGTCCGAGCGTACGCCACAGCGTGAGTGTTAGTCTGACGTCAGACCAATCGCGCGTAGCGTAGCTCTCCTTCAGGCGGCGGGTCCATTTGTCCGTCCGTCTGTCGTCGCTGCTGCTGCTGCTGCTGCTACTGCTGCTGCTACTGCTGCTGCTGCTGCTGCTGCTGCTGCTGCTGCTGCTGCTGCTGCTGCTGCTGCTGCTGCTGCTGCTGCTGCTGCTGCCCGTCACACGAATTTCAAATCGCAGCTTCGAAATTATCTGTTCGATTTACGAATTAAAAGTGGGGCTTTTATTCCTCGGTGTTTTCTTTGTTTGTCGGCTGTGCGAGAAGAAGAATTCTAGGTGCTGTGAAGCGTAGGTGACCCCCCCCTCCTGTGGTACAAGTTAAGAGAGCTTCGATGCTTGGATGATAGCCTATGATTTTATTCACTGCCGTTTTCTCGAGAATAATGTCTCCGTACGTTTGCACGTTAGGTCGTTAGACTTAATTAACCCCCCCCCCCGACCTGCCCCGCACCCGACTGTAATAGCTGACGTAATTTCTCTAGTTGCACGTCTTTCTTTTGGTTTTTTTGCATGTCAATGTTTCGTGTTTTTTCGCTGCTGCTCGCATGAAATCTACAGACGCGGGAAAATCCGCCGTCGTTGACGATGACGACGACATCGGCGTACGTCGCACGCAGTCCGCGCGAACCACCAAGAAGAAGTCGTCGAGTAAGTAGCGCCGTAGATGGCGCCACCAGTCGGTAGATGGCGCCACCGGCTGCACGATAGATGCTCCGCGTCTCGTATGATCTCGCGTTCGCGTAGCGATTGTGTCGTCGTTGCGTGCGTGCTTCGCTACATGCGTGTGTTGGTCGCTGGTGGTTTCAGGAGAGCCAGTGGACGAAGGAGACGATGTGAAGGATAAGTCAGCGACTATGAGGTCGACCGACAGTGGAGAGGTGTCCGGCAGGAGCAGTAGAGAGGTGAGGGGCCGGCGCACACTGCCACCAAACCTGCGGTTAATCTTCAAATCTGCACTTAATTCTTAAATCGGTGGTTCCTACTTTTATGTGGGTGGTTGATTAAATCTAGCGTTAACTCTTCAATCTGCAGTTAATTCTTAAATTGGTGGTTTATCTTTATATGTGGGTGGTTGATTAAATCTGTGCTTAACTCTTAAATTGGTGGTTAAGCCTTAAATATGGGTGTTGATTAAATCTATGGTTAATTCTTAATTAAAGGCTTTATCCTCAAATCTATTGTAAATCATTATGCTAAACTGTCTGATAACTAATTACTAGGAATTGATCATTATATCTGCAGTCAACTCTAAAATCTGTTGTAAATTATTCAAACCTTTATTAATCATTAAATTCATGATTTAATTCCTAATTTCTAGAATCTGAGGTTAATCACTACGCCTGGGATAAATAATTAAATCCATGGTCATCATTAAATACAAGGTTAAACACTAAGTCTGTGGTAAAGCATTATATCCGTGATTCATCATTTAATCATTTTATCTTGTTAGATTAACCCAGACTGATGATTCCCGGTGAAAACGAATTTACATACACAACTGCTTTTGTTTTTTGCAACGATTTACATTGCTACTATGATGTCATCGATGATGTTTTAGGGGTCACCGACCAAGCTGGGAGAGAAGGAGAAGAAGAAGAAGAAGAAGAAGGGATTCCGCACACCATCCTTCCTCAAGGGCAAAAAGAAGGACAAACACAAGGACGAATAGAGTAGCCTACGATAGCGGTACGGTGGTTTTCATGCGAATCAACGTTGGGAGCATCTCACACGATCCGTTGTCAACATTCGCAGATAAATGTCAAGGAAGTGGTGCCGATTCGACACTCTAATCCACCAGCTCGGCGGTAAATCTCGATATCGCAAAATTACTTGCCAATGACGCACACCAGACAGACTAGTGCTGCCACCTGCCGAATCGTCTGTAATTTCGCGGCGCGACGAGGGGAGAGCGTGTTTTTGGCGGAATGTAAGCGCTCAGCGTGCGTGAGCAGTCGAAGCTTTGATGGAGGAATTTGCACACTGCCATCGGTTCTCTTTCAACTCGTGTATGTCATTCCCAGTGTGACGTCAACGCTTAGTAACTAGCTTTCTGTGTCCGTTCGTGAAACAGGGTGGATGGATAATCGGCCGGAAAATCTGCGGGTAAAGAGAGACAAGGATGCATGACGTGAAAGTTGCCGTAGTCAAACAGATTTTAAAATGTTTCGCGCTCGCATTTTGAGTTTATATTTTACGAGAGCTGTTTTTAAATGTAGGAGCGGTGCACGTGTGTAGGCATGCTCACACGTCTGCTTGTAATGTAGTGGTCGTCGGTGACTACTAGCATGCCATGGGTTATATGATATATCAGCCCTCCACTCGTGTGAAAGGCATTGATCCTGGATTCTAAAATAATGATGCACCAGGCTTAGGAATCTAGTAGCCAACACGGGTGGGCTTTTTTTATTAGTCTGTGTGACAGAATGGTTGCCATCTTTCTCGCTTGTCCGCTTCGTAAGAGCACTTGTTATTAATTAATTATTTACTTAGCTGTCGGTACTGTAGTTAATTAGTAGGGCGTGCGGTAACGCTAGTGGTGCCGGTTGTAGGTGTGGAGGCAAGAATGTAGGCCAGGGTACAGTAACGGGGCAGGAGGATGAAATATGTAAATCTGTCCCTGTTCTGTCTTTTTTCCGAAAAGCCAGTAATCATGTTTGGGTAGCGTCTACGATGATCGTATGCCTCTGTCATGATCGTAGTTCGTCTCTCTGTTGGTTTCTCGCGTTGCTTGCAGGCTTGCTACACGGGTGGGTGAGGCTTGCTACACGGGGTGGGTGAGGCTTGCTACACGGGTGGGTGAGGCTTGCTACACGGGTGGGTGAGGCTTGCTACACGGGTGGGTGAAGCACGGTGTTACATGTGGTTTATCGATGCATAGTCAAACCGGCAATTGTATTAGGAGAGAATATAATATTTATGCCGTATATATATATATATATATTCATATTATGCATAAGCATTTTATTATTATATTATATTCTCCCCGACCGTACTATTTTGAAAGGATTTTGCTATCGCTGTGTCTCTGCTAGGGTTTTCTGGATAGCATTTCAGGCAACGATGAGAATTATGGTGCATGTATAATGTATATCGAGCGAGCGCTGTTCTGTTCTGATGTACGCTTTGATGCTATACGCAGGGTTGTGTCGGCGCGATGTCGCCCGTGGTTACACGCGTCTGCGCGGTTTTACTCTCTCGCAGGTTCTTTGCCTCGACTGTCTGGCTCTGATGTATTTTTGCAAGACGTCGTGTTTTTAGTACTTCCTTCTAGTTTTGCGGTTTAGCGAGAGCGCGCGCGCCAGAGAGAAAGAGAGAGAGAGAGATAGAGAGAGGGTGGGAGAGAGAGCGACTGTCTCGCGAGAGTTGTGAATGAAGGTTTACAAGAGCAACGTTTTTTAATGACACGCGGGTTGTGAAGAACGGGTGGAGGGTGGGGTGGGGGTAGTAACAGCTTGCAGTTGAAGATGCGACATTTTGAGATCGTTCTTCAGCTTGTCTTATATGTATACCGTCGACTTCTATTTACGACATAGTTTTCACATTTAGAATAACAATCACGATGGAATCACGTGCATGCGAGCGTGTTGATGATGATGACGTATCGGGCCGCAAATAAGTAAATCTATCAATATATATCTATATCGAGTATTTTTTTCTTCGTCTTCATTGCTCTCACATTTGGAGAGTATAAAACAGAGTGTGTGTGGTGGGGGGGGGGGGTCGCCGATGTTAGAGAGATGGTAAATCTATGGAGCGGGAAACTATTCTAACGCAATTATTCTAGTATTCATCGGATGGGACTTTTCTAATATATATATATATATATATATATATATATATATTATTATCGTCTGTCCATGCTAATCGTCATGCTGGCAGAGGCGCCCCCTGGTGTTGTAGTGTGACGTGACTTGGTGTTGCGATGTTGTGACTACTGTACGGTTAGCAGGAAGGTGAAGGAGAAGGAGACACCAAACGCTGGTTGTCCGCGAGAGAGAGAGAGAGAACCTGTCCAAGACGAAGTGTCGGTAGACGAGCCTTACGTCTGTCTGTAGTCATGACGATGTCTTACTTACTTACTATTATCACGTAATACGAATAACGCATCTTTAGCTACATTAATAGCTTATAAATGGCCGTACGGTTGGTTGTGTGTAGCTCGTGATGGGATGTGACGCTAAATGCATCGTCAACGTGTTACCTGCTTACTGTCTGTCGCTATGGCAACGCATGTGACGCCCGGGTTGTGTGTTCGTGATCACAGCTATCAACTCCTATATATACGATTCTTTAACCAGATGTTAATAGGTATATATTCATGATTTGTTTGAATGCCTCGTAGTGCGTAGGTGCGTAGTTTTATGTATAAATACAGCGACGGATGGACCGCAGTATTGTTGTGCTTTTGTAATCTATTTCAGAAAGTATATTATATACATAGTCGGTTGCCTTTCTTTGGGATTTTTTTTAGACAGGTTACTAGTGATATTTTTTAAATCGTTGTTGTTCACGTTTAGATACATGTCGCGTTGTTCTCATGTGTCGTTGTCACTGGCTACATGAGTCACATGTCATCCCGCACGCTCCGTCACCTCCCCCTCCTCCCCCGCGCGGGAGAGGGTGGGTTATCGGTCGAGCTAACCCCGGCGTTACACCGCCCACCTGCCCGCGTCACTCTGCCGTGACGTCATCGGGTTGTGAACAATGGTCGCGCGTCACGTGGTCGTGACTTCCGGTCGATGCTTCACGGCATGGTGTTGATGATGTAAGGGAAGTGCGTGTCCGAATTCTATAAAAAGGTTAATGTTTTGAAAATCATGCGTACACTTTGTGTTGAAATTTGAACATCGATATTGAAACCGCGTAGTGAAATATAGAGGGAGTTATATAGCTAAAGCTGAGATAGCGTCAACTGAGTCTGTCGTGGCTGTGTCGTGTAAGCGCTGGCGATGCTGGTAATGCGGTGTGAAGCTCTGTATCTTCACGACTCATCGTCATCTGTTGTTAGGAGCTCTAGCAGCAACAGTTACCAGTACCGCCTTGCACGCGCACGCGTCTGCCCCGCCGCTCATCGTCATCCGTTGTTAGGAGCTCTAGCTACGGAGATGATCCCCGCTACTCAGCCACTCGGTATTGTTTGCACTTGATTAGTCTCCGCCATGTTTGTTTATTTTGCCGACGATGATTTAACGCGGCCGACGTTTTGTGGTCGCGCCGTTATTGCGCATGCGTAGTCGCGTTTATTATTGGCGCTGGTTATTAGCAGCAGATAGATAGCTGTAGCTTTACTCGTCAGGTATACCTGGTGCTGATGGTGATGTGTCAGCGAGCAAGCATGTGTACGACACTAAATACTTGTGTCAATGACATCAATTAATTATAATCGGAATAAAAATTCACTAAAAATCGAACCGCGCGCCCGTTTATTTATTTATTTGTTATCGTCTTATTGTGACGCACACGTCGTTTGACGATGACAGATGACAGATGACAGATGAAGAGAGATACTGCTCGTAGTTATTTATTACTAGAGTTTTAACATTTTCATCCTAGCGTGGTAGACGAGAGAAACAGGCATCGCGGTCGGTGTTCACGCGCGCCTGTGTGTATGTGCGTGCGTGCGTGTGGGTGGGGGGGGGCAGCGTACGTGTGTGCGTGCGTGTGGGTGGGTGGGGCGGCAGCGTACGTGTGTGCGTGCGCGCGTGTGTGTGTTTGGTTTATATGCGCGTGAGTATCGACGACGACGAACGATTACAAACCTTGACTATATGCACCGGAATAACAGAAGATCGATTCATTATTTCATCAGAATGTCTGAACACAACGTATAACGACAGTAGTATGTGTTCCCGACAATAATAATATGTACGTAGACCATTTGTTTCTTTACCAATAGACTGTATCTCTACCTATAGAACATATCTATAAATATAATACCATATATTTACCTATAGACCATATCTATAGATATTGAGACCATATTTTTACCTATAGAACACCTTTATCTATAGACTAATAGACCAAATCTTCACCTATAGACCTCATCTTTATTTATAAACTATTACACCTAATTTTTATTTAGCGTAAACCATACTTATCTATCGATATACTTTGACCTACAGGAAAAATCTTGACACGGAACTTATTTTTTTTTACAATTTTGTCCCCTAATCTTCGTCTACTACAGGTGGCGAGCGTGGCAACACGGAGCAGCATACTCATGTAGCAGTGGTGATCGCTACACTGGTGGTAGTGGTTGCCCCCTCCCTCATCCACTGCGAGGTTGCCCTCTCCCTCATCCACTGCGAGGTTGCCCTCTCCCTCATCCACTGCGAGGATCCCCGATCTTCACCAGCTGTTTCTTCTCCGTGAAGTCAGAGTTTATGTAGAGAATTGTCTTCGTGTATTTGATCTTCCTCCTGCGCGGCGGTTCCGGCCTTGCGGCAGCAGCAGGAGGAGGAGGAGGAGACTTCCCCTCCCTCTCCCCCTCCTCCCTTGTGGCAGGTGTCTTCTTCCTCGTCCTCCTCCTCCTCCCCACAGACGTCTGTCCACCCTCCCCGCCACCCTCCCCAGCTGGCTTCCCCGCTCCGCTGTTCTTATATTGATGTTGCGATGGCCGCTCTTCTTCCGTCAACCGCTTAGGTCTATTCCGGGATCTTCGGGGTTTCGCTGCTGTTGCTGCACGGGTCGCGGTGGCGCCCTCTGCCTCGCCTGCTTCCGGGTTAGTCACGTGGTTTGTGTCGCGTCGTCGAGTCGTTGCCGGAGGTCGGCGAGCGTCTCGTGTCGTCACATCCGGTTTCGCGCGGCGCCCATGCGCGTGGGCAGAAACGTCTGCTCCTGGCTGGTTGCTCGTTTCCGATGAGGAGGGTTTTGGCGGTGCAGACGCGCGCGTGATTGATTGTTTACGTCTGGTAACGTTCGCGGCTTCCCGGCTATCCATGTGTTGGACATCGCATGGCGCTTGTTTGTTCCCTCGCGCGTCACCATCGCCGTCCCTGTTTGCTATTTCTACTGCAGCCGTCGCCGGTTGAACAGAAAGAGCTGCGATGACGTCAGGCCGTGACGTCACCTGTTTGTCTGCAGAAGTATTTGTTAGTTTCGCGTCGGTGGTATACCTGTCCACCGTCTGGTCGTGCGCATGATCAGTGAGCTCGGCCTCCTGCATCTCTGTAGAACTCTTGAAAATCTGCTGCTGTCCTTTGAAAGTTTTTCGCGGTCCTTTGAAAGTCTTTTGCGGTTCTCTTGAAGTCTTTTGCTGTCCTTTGGAAGTCCTCTGCTGCAGCTCTCTCGCTTGTTTGCCGTCTGCGCTCTGTGTCATTGACGGGGCTTCCACGCCCATGCTTGTATCCTTGTCGTTGTCCATCGTTGTTGTTACAGACTCGCTGTCCGTTTTCACGATCGAGTTCACTTCCTTCTCTCCTGCCACGCGCTGGACTCGGTTGTCTAGCACGCCTTCCTGTTTCTCCGTGGAACTTCTGGAAGTTTCCTGCTCTGTGCGGCTTGCCTCTTCCTGTTCTTCTCCTCGCAGCATTGGTGGAACTAGCGGGTCGGTTCGTGTGTGTTTGTCGTCGGTCACCGATGAATTGTCGTAACTTACGGCTGAGTATTGCTGGCCGACGTCATGCCTGTGCAACCGTCGGCGGTGACGTATTCTTTTGTTGTCGGCGGCTGTTTCTACGTCACGGTCGCTGTAGCTGTGAGCGTGGTCGTGGTCGTGCAGTGATGCTGGCGGATCGTTCCAGTCTATATGTCGTGTTGATTCGTGCGTTATTGCGTCATCGTCGTGTTTGTTACTGAGGGCTTCAGAGACATCGACCGCATGTCCTGATTCAGCTGGAAGTGTCTTCACTCCGGCTGTCTCCTGTTCTGTGTCCTTATGTTCTAAAGGTGCCTCTCTTGATTTACCTGATGAACACGCTTGGAGTTGACTAAGTACACTATCACTATTGACCACCGATCCGGCGGTTGAAGACGTTTGTTCTGTATTGTAAGGTTCATTGGGAATGATTTGAATTTGATTAATTTCACCGACCTTTGTATTCTCGTACCTCATTGTTTCTATATTACAATAGGGTGCATTTCTTGCGTGTGATACTTTCGCCGTTGATTTTGTGATCTCTGATGATTTTGGTTCTCGATTCAGTTCATCCGGTTTCGTTTTTACGTTATCGTAGCGTGTTTCTTGGGGACAGAGTATGGTGTCTTTTTCTATGCTGCTGCTATCAGTGGCAGGAGACGCTGTCCAGCTATCGTGCCACTCAGCCTGCTGTGTTGACACTTGCATTATTGCTTCCACATCATGTTGCTGACTATGGGCATCAGATGTAGGACGGACATCGACCGTGTGTTGTTGTTTATCGTCTGATCTCTCCAATCCCATCTCGTCGTGTTTTGTTTCTACGTGTGCAGGGGGCGCTGCTGTTGCTTCACTGGATGGGCACGCTCCAGCATCACTGTCACTGGTCGCTAACCGTGGGGTTGTAGTTAGTTCTCCTGCATTGCAATGTTCCCTGGAAATGATTTGATTCTTATTTACCTCGTCTACGTCTATTTCCACCTGATCACAGGTGTTTGCTTCATCACAACTGTCACCTTCACGTGATGCATTTATTACATCTAGTGATGAACTCACTGATTCGTTCTCACCTGATATTTCTGTCTCGGCACTGTTCTCCACGTCATTCCACTTCGTTCGGTTAGTGTTGTCATCGCTCGCTGTATTACATGCGTCTGAGACCGTATTCGTTCGTTCTAGTTCCTTATCTGATGGTTTAACGTCTAGATGCAGATGATCAGCTTTCGCTTCCACGGAGTTCTTGTCATCACAGCTCGCCTGCTCAACGGGCGCTTTGTTTTTCTTTTGTATTTTTTTGACCACTAGAAACTCCTGTTTTGTCGTAATCACTGTCTTCAGAACTCGTCTGATTTGAGGCTTTGTCTTCGGCTGTAACTCGCCCTGCTCGGCGGTTGAGCCTGTCGTCTGCTGTAACTCGTGTCCGCCATTTTGTTTCTCTTTGTTGTTATCGAATGTTGCGTCGTCCTGTATTTTATTTTCTCCGCCATCTTTCGGTTCGACAACGTAGTCGTTGGTTTTTAGACTGTCGTCATCTCTCCGCGACGTGCCAGTCTCTAGTGGCACTGCCGGCGTTTCACGCCCGTCTAGCGTCACCTCCTGCTGATTCTGCCTCATCAGCGTCCCTCGATCCCGTGCATCGACCGCTGCCATGGTAACGGCAAGTTCCTTTTCGCTTACGTGTGCTCCCTCTACGAGACGATCACTGCGCCCCCTCGTGGCGTCGCTGTCGGGTACAGTGTGAATGCTGTGGTCGGCTGTCGAGCAGGCTGCCCCGGCGGCTGCCTCCACTGCCCCGTGTTCTGTTAATGCTTCTCCCTGCTCATGCTCTCTCATTGGCTGCATGTGGGTCGACTTGATGACACTGTGTTGCTGGAATTCTGTCACCGTGTCCAGTTGTGTGTGTCCCGCGGTGTCTAGATGTGACTCCATGACGATGTCAAGCAGTGAATCTCCCACAATGTCCGGCTGAGAACTTTTCATGTCATCCAGGTGTAACTCCATTACGTGGTCAAGTTGTGTATCCGTCGCGTTGTCCAGGTGTGGTTCCGTCACGTGGTGTGCATCGTGATCGCTCACATTGTTTATCTGTTGATCACCATCGTTGTTCATCTGTTGATCAACCATGTTGTTCATCTGTTGATCACTTTCGTTGTTCATCTGTTGATCACCTACGTTGTTCATTTGTTGATCACTTACGTTGTTCACTTGTTGATCACTTACGTTGTTCACTTGTTGATCACTTACGTTGTTCACTTGTTGATCACCTACATTGTTCATCTGTTGATCATTCATATTGTTCATCTGTTGATCATTCGCGTTGTTCATCTGTTGATCACTCATATTGCTTATCTGTTGATCACCAACGTTGCTCATCTGTCGATCATTTATGTTGTTCATCTGTTGGTCATTCACGTTGTTTATCTGTTGATCACTCACGTTCTCTAGCTGTGTGACTATGACGTCATCTAACGACGATGCGCCCGCGATCGGCTGGTTCTCTGCTGCGCCGGTAGAGAGATGTGCCTCACGAGCGTACGTCATCGCCAGGTCGTACAGAGACACGCCTGACTTCACGCACCACGTGTGCGTCTCCGTCGCCGACGCCCCGCACGCTGCCTGGCCGACGGCCGCCGACCGGTCATCCTCCTCGCTCGACCTCGCCGCCGCGGGGATGGTCAGTGCAGCTTCGCGGTGATCGTCCGACCACGTGATCGCCGGTTCGTTCACGTGATCGCGCGCGTCGTCGTCGCCGCGTGACGTCATGAGGTCGATGGCGGCGGAGTTGTGGTTTTCGTCTGCTGCGGGGATCACGTGACGGAGTAGCGTGCGAGACTCTTCGTTGAACACCTGCAAACATTGCGATGTTTGTGTATAGCTGCGTGTATACACGGCTTAGCTGGTACCGTACTTAGTTGATGCTAAGTCCGGTTAAAATGCGTTCACACGAGATACACGAGATTCG